CAAAGTCCGCAGCGCGTGCCTGGGCATTAACGTCCTCTGAACCCACAGCCAGGCCACCCCATGTCAAAGTGTTGTCAGTCTTGTTCAGCGTCGCGTGTTCGTACGAGAAGTCTGTGAACTTGTGCACCTCCGCTGTGTGCAGGAAGATTTGCACAGCAGCCGTGTGGACTATGGCGTCGCCCCATCGGCTGTAGTAGTAGCCGCCCGTCCTGTCGGCGTAGTTGAGGAACTGCTGAACCTGTGTGCTGGTGAAGAAGTCGACCCGTGCGATGAAGAAGTTGTTGTAGTAGCTGTGCAGGTCGTGTAGCCCAGTCTTAAGCCCGGCAATGTTGCGGGGGGTACAGTGGTCGTACAGGAATGTGGGCTCGATATCGTAGTGCTGTAGATAGGCGTGGACTGCCTCGGGCCACCCATGCGCCATAGGTGGGGTACTCTGTCTGGTCCTGCCGGTAGCCGTAGACCAGTCTCTCGGAGGTCATACGCTCAGCCAGGTCGTACTTGATGGGTGAGTGGATGAAGCTCTCCTCGTCCAGGCGCATGACGTACTCATAGCCCATGACACTCACCAAGGGCCAGATCCGATTGGCGTAGAAGCGGATCATATTGCGATAGCCCATGCCGTACTTGCTGCCCTCGTGCCAGGACGGCAGTTCCTTCTCGTCAATGAATGCGGGTGGGCCCCACTCGGCTGCGCTCAGGGTGTGGAACTTGATGTGGGGGCGGCCCTTGATCACCTTCTTCTGATCCTCACTACTGAAGTCACCCTCGTGAAAGATAATCACATCCGCCGCAGTGTACGGCATTACATTCTCAAATACCAGATCTAAGCTCTTGGCGAGTAATGTATTTGAATCCCGCTGATATAGCGCATCGGATTTGGTGTTTCTTGTGAGGTAAGCAATCGCCATGCGTGGCTGTGACGCTTTTGCCCGGCCTTTGACAATCACGGTCGAACTCGCCGGGTCGCCCGACTGCTGCATTATAATCTTCATCTGTGCATCTATGGCGAAGACTTTTGAGGTAGTGTAATCGTCAGTCGCCGTTTGGGTTCCCACACTATTCAGTAGTGGAGCTACGTAGTTCGATACAGTCAGAAGAATCGCCAAACTGCACATCATCGTTGCTATGATAGCTAGACTTGACAAAAGCTTAGTTTTTGAGATATGTGTTGGGCGTCTGACTTCAA